TAATCATTATGGGATAATGATAATGATTGTACCTATAACACAATAGAATTGATTCATGTACCATAGTAACAATCAGGATATTTAATGAATAAATCAGAGTAAAATGAATATCATGAGAATAGTGAGTTGAAATATTAGTAAACAGGACAAAGTTATGTATTCATCACATACTTATATACCCACATAGATACATACATGCATAGATACATGCTTAAAGGAATCTATCCATTTAACTGGTGTTTCCACGTCTGTTTTAAATATTATTTCTTAATTTATCAACTTCTGATTGGTTAAAATGTTGATTTTTATATTTTAATTTTTTGTTTCTAATTAGTTGATGGTTTTCATCTCCTTGGTCACGTGCGCAAACGCTTAACCTTTAGACCACTGAGCCGACATCCAACGGTGATTAGCAGTGACATTCAAAGCAATGACACATGGTCTTTGGAAAATGTCAGTAAATGATAATAAATATCATACCAGTTGAATTGATCAATAGTTAAAAGGAGTCATCAACTTGGTGTATAATATGTAAGGTGTTTTCTGTGAAACATACCCAGTTCAAGTTTCAATATGAATATTAATATCATGACGTAGGTACATTCAACTGACAAGTTCAAATTAGGACGAAACTCAGGTACTGAATTCTGTTGCTAGTCACATCCCTCCTCGCTTTCTTTGTCAATATATTTGGCCTAATTGGCAGTATCGATACGCTGTATATTAACAGGCTACAAGTTAAAGCAATTGAAGATAGTTTGAAAAATTCTGCATCCTCAATATCCCAAAAAAGGAGTCAAGATCAATCAGGAATTGAACAAAAATCAGTATGAATATTTCCAACAATCAACATACAGAACTGTCGTCGGTATCCTTAGAAGACAATGATTGTTTGTTAGTCATACAGTATTTTTATCTTAACTTGCTTATCCATATATGAACCAAAAAATAATCTTGAAGTGACCATATTCTTTGAAACGTTGTCATAAGAGATGAGCAACTGACCACATCATTACATGTAAATTTGAGAATAAACATGATAACTTGTATGCAATGGCAATTCGTATTGAAATGTACATCATATAGATATTTCATTATCTATTATACCGTCATTATTTCAGACGAATTAATCGCTGTCAGATGGTCTCTCACTCAAAATCTCAATGATACACGTAAGTCCACACATTGAAAGTATAAACACCTACATCTTAACTCATTGTGATTACTCACAGTTTGTGCGATTCCATTCTTCTCAGAAACTGAAAGTGAAATCATTTTTACGTATCTGTAAAATGAAGGTATAACCGTTTGTGAAATCCATTCACCGTGTGGTTGCACCAGTCACAGCTTTAAGGTTAGTTGAAATGAACTGGAAAAGATTATAAACGACGAGCAATAAATAGATAAATCAATTCACAAATTAATTTCACTCGTGTAAGAATGAATGCAGAGGTTCGTTTCCGTTTTTACGCTTCAATGGAGCTTGACGAAGAGTCTGTATTGCAAAATAGATGAATTGTGTTTTATGTTCGTCACAAAGTCACATCTGTACAGAACACATTTATCTACACTTCCATTCATTGCACAGTCATTCGTATAACTAGTCCTTTCAAATTAATAAACTGTTAACATTACATATCTGAAGCTATTGATTTCTCATCTACAACAAGTAAGCACTGTGATCAGAGTTAGTTGATCGACTGAAATATCCATATGTTACGTAGCAAAATAAATTTTCAAGTTCCATTTGTAAATAGACGCTCCACATCTTATATCGCACATTTTTTCAAAAAAATCAACTGGAGCTTTGGAGTAATTTCGTGACATTACGCCGAGTCTATGTGTATTTGTTCTTACTGCTTACTTTGAGGAAATACAAAGTTCATACATGAGAATGTCAGATTGTTCGGGTTGATTTTAAGGATGCTCCTATAACATTCCAGCTCTCTTCACCAACGTTTGTGTTGCAATAGCAAAGCGAGATTTTCTGTCTTGATAATGTAGGTAAACTAGCTTGAAACCTATGTCCAAGTATTACTTTTAACTTACTCCAATCATCCAACATCAGAACATGGCTGCAAATGTTTGAATGTGGGTCATATTACAGTTCGATCTATGAGATATGAATATATGTATAAATGACCAGATAGGTATGATATTTGTCATTGCTCTGTATTGAATTAATCGTCAATACTAATCACTACATTTATCCACAAGTAACTTATTGTTCTGCATCTTTTTTTAAATTGACCAAATTGATTGATTCTTAACGACGGATAACTTACTTACGCTTGTTAGTCCTAATGGAGCATTGGACGCCAAACAGCATTCTCCAACCCATTTATTGTAATCTGGGCCTTCCCTTTGATGTCTATCCAAATAATGTTCATTCTTCTCATGTCTGTCTCCATTTCTCGGCCCAATGTGTTATTTGGTCTACCTCTCCTCCGTCGACCTTCAGGATTCCATGTGAAGGCTTGCCTTGTAACATAGTTGCGTGCTTTCGTCAATATGTGTTCTATCCACTTCCAGCTGTTCTTTTATTTGATTCATTCGTCAGCTGGAATCTGTTTTGTTCTCTCTCTTGGTAGGTTGTTGCTGAAAATATCTGGCTAATGGGTTCGAAGTATTTTGCGTAGATGTCTGTTAATAAATACTTGTATCTTCAGGATGAATACTTCCGTAGTTCTCCTGGTTTCCTCCCATACAGTAGAACTGCGTTCACATTTGAATCAGATCCACCATGTTCATCAATGAAACTGTCCAGATATGTGAGAATTTTTAATTTTTCCGAATCTCCATCAATTGTGATTGCGTTGGTGCATTCTGTGTTGTATCGGAGAATCTGGCCTTTCCAGTTGTGTATATTGAGAGTTACTATCGTTGTGACTGTGCTAATCTGATCGTCCACTCCTGCATTTGTTGTTGCGTGTGCGATAGAAAAGTGGGTTTAAGTCAGATCATCGGCGAAGTCTAGATCATCCAGGTGTATTCTAGATGTCCACTGTATCTCATGCTTCGTCACAAACGTTTTTAATTTATGACCAAGCATCAGTGATAAATCGGATATCTCTGTGTGACCTTGTGTGACAGCGAAGCATCATTTTCATATATATCTCGTCAAATTAACTTTAAGAGTTTCCTGCAATCAAGTAATCAGAATAAATTATATCCCCTGAGTTTCAGAATTCATTTTGTATTTAATGTAAATACATTCTGAAGATAATAATTATAGAACTCTTGCCACTAGTTTACAGACGTGATCAGCATTTAGACTGTGTTTGTCTTTGATTTGATTATCATTTCTTTTGGCATCTTAGTTTATTACGATATTAATCTGGTATATGTAATTCGTGAGGTTAACTAAACTTGTTTGTATTAAGACAGACTATAAACACCGGACATCGTCTAACTCAATCATAAAACCTCCTCAATAACATCGATTCGAAACGTGTATATGAGGTTTTTCAGATCAACGTGGCTGGCAGGCTATTTACCATTTCATCTTCGAGTGTTCATTCACGGAGGAATTCATCTGATTTCTATAGCAAAACTAAAACGAATTTCAACACCAGATGATATTTCAAAATGTATTTGATCTCTTGTCAAATATGATAGCCCTCACACAACGACAGTATCCAACTTCAATCAGCATTCAACACAAACATCCATCTGGTAAACATTCGAGTGCGTCTATCCAGAATATAGTGAAGCGATGAATTTCTCTGCCATAGTGATTGAAATAAAACGAAACAAAGAATGTGATGTGGAGTTTTTCATGGAAATGATGATTGTTCATATTCTCACATTCAATAAACATGAGAAGTATCAACTAGTCGAGTCTAAACGTTTCTAGATTATTATAATTATGAGTCCCACCGCTATAAAATCTACGAAAGTGACATGTCGAGAATTCAGTAAGGTAATGAGCACTAATTTAAATTTAGATGGTAAATGTTCACAGAGTTTATTCATAGCTGATACCAAATCTGCTCAAAAATGATAGAAAATTTTATTCATCTTTCTGCTGTGTGTTTGTCAGTGATTGTCACTCATATGAGTGCATCGTTAGAAAGCGACATTCCTTTCTATACTCAAAGTAAATAGAGAACATCAGATAACCTGATAATTAAGATAAAATATGGTCATAAACAACAGAATCTTTGATCATTGACATTTCTACAAACGACAAATGAGGTCAACAGACAGATTTCGGCATGTCACACATTCACATAATGTTCATCACTTTATTTCATCAGTGTTACTTTAAGAAAAATATTGTTTTATGCCAAAACGCATAGTAGATTAGAAGAACTAAAATAGATGGGCTGATTATGTGGAATATTCAAACACATTTTTGTGATTGAATTGACAAGGTACAGCACACAGTGTGAACGGTTTCACAGGTACGAGAGTAGCACGTGTTGTGTTCACGTCAAACAAATACAGTTCATCGACGATAATATGTTTCTGATAGATAATCTTATCTTTTGCATCCGTTCAAATACACTTCTTTGTTGTTATTCACATAATGGTCCCCAGTAAATTAGGGATTTGAAAGGTGAGTGTCCATTTAACTAAAGTGGAGAGGACGAAATACAAATAAGTGAAATAACAAACAGTCAGTGATATACATTTTGGAACTGAAATCACGCATAAATATCTCTCTCTGATTATCACTAATTAGCTATGTCAATTGATATAGGCTTGGAGAAATTCTCCAGGAATAATTATCTGGTTATATTCAGCTCATCATTATTTGTACATTTTGTACATATTGATCTTTCTCTCCAGGAAATTGAACGGATTAAATTACTCTGCTTACTCAGAGCATTTAAATCTGTAATGTCCACGTTAGCCAATTCCACTTCATTTCGAATGAACTCCACTTCAATATGTTTCAATGTATTTGGCAATTTTGTAAACCGCTCTATTTTTATCACAGACTACTACTACTACTACAGCTCTGCTTCTCCTTAGATTTCAATAGAAAATGAGCAAAGTATTGTTTTCAATGGACTGATGTGATCTAATCTACATCCACATAGATCTGTTAATTTCTTATGACTTTCTATTTGTATACAGTAATCTACATGTCAATACAGAAAAGTCAAAACATTCTTACAGTCGTCATTATTATGTTGGTCAGACAAATCGAATAGGACTTCGTTTAGAAGTTATATTTACATATTGAACTATGATGAAATCGTCTAACAGAAGTTTTATTACAATGAAATTCAAGTGTAAAAGTGTAAATGCTGAATCCCTATCTAAACAGTTTGTGCCATTTTGATTTGAATCAATCAAATAGAAACAATACACCATTGACAGTCTATAAAGAGGTATTTGCAGGCAACAAACTGCTTGTTCGTATTTTTGAGTAGCAAGTTAATCAACCGTGTATTACGAAGTACGGTTAATCACATTCAAGAGAAGTTTGATCAACAGGGGTCAGGAATATAAAACAACGGTGGATAAACTCCAGCTCAGGTTCTCAATAGATAGAAGAATATTGAATAACGATCAGTTATTCCCCCACCATGATTGGTCAGTAATGAACGTAATGAACGAAATTTGACCTTCACTGTCACTTTGAATCATCGAATCAGAATAAAACAACCAAACACCCAATAAATCTATATATACCAGACAATTTTTAGTGAAATTTCATTAACTGCTTTGAAGAAGATGATGAGGTGAGTGTTAGCTGAACATGCGAGGTAAATGAGTGTATCGCACAAATCTAAATTTGACTCCATGTAATAACGTTCTTTTATTCACTTGAACCATTTCAGATTCAATTCTCCATCTGATCTGTTCATTCGAATTTCTTTGATCTTGAACCTGTTTTCTGTGTTCTGTATCTGCGATGAAATTTGTAAACAACCGGATTGGGTGAACTTTACAAAAGTGATTTTTATGAATGAATCATATCGATATGTAAGTAATCGGTCAGATTCTAATAGACATATACAGTCACATCACTATTATTACTCACAAACCATTAATCTCAAACAGCCTCATCCATTTGTGAATGGCAGTTTCAAGATATTCGAAGAGGATAAAGTGAGTTGGTTACATTTTGTAGTGGAGGCGCTATTCATATATTTACACCTTTTAGCCTATTAAACCAGAATTCCCGTTAAAATATTTTGAAAGTCAAGTCAGTAAATTTGAATTTTTGTCTATTGGTGAGTCCATAATTTTTTTTGAATTAAAATTGTTATTGAATTTACTTGATCACAAATTAATCGCATGAATCATAGTGGATTCAATTTATTCAATGAATCAGTTGCATACTCCTTATGACGCGCCGATTTCTTCAATGAATCAGTTGCATGCTCCTTATGACGCGCCGATTTCTTCAATGAATCAGTTGCATGCTCCTTATGACTCTCCGATTTCTTCAATGAATCACTTACATGCTCCTTATGAAGCGCCGATTACTTCAATGAATCACTTACATGCTCCATGTTACATGTCCAACTTATGCAATTTATATTTTATTCATTCCATGTGAAATTATCAATCGAATTGTATGTTTTCATTCACAAAATTATAGGTTATTTAGATATATATAAAAACGACAAGATAATTGGACAAATCTCGAATAATTTAGGAAGATTATTGTCAGGTCAACTTTTGAATGAGAGTGAGTTTCTTGAATTATTCAGTCGTAGTTTGTTTTATTTACTTTTCTCAAATACATTTTACATATAAGGAATCTCAACGACCCGACATTTCTCAATAAAGTGAGTGAATCCAACTAAACAAATGTGCAGTGACAAGCGATGTTCTGAGTTAAATCAGTTTGTGCTATTGAAGCCGACAATCTATCAAACCTTACTTGATGCCCTTAAAAACTTTTCTAGAACTTACTTGACTCCTAAAAGTTTAATGTCTCTGAGTCGCCTTCTGCCGACCATCGTATAGTCAACTCTATCTCTTTAATCATATTCATATTCATACAATTTTCGAATTCAAACACTTTCTGACACAGCGGACTAATGAACGAACGTGAACAGTCGTTTAGTGCAAGATTCTTTACTCAAACTAGAACACTTAGAACATTAAGTTTACATCCGTATATCTCGGTCAGCTATACACATTGACGATTAACAAAATCTAACGTCCAATAAATACCAAAAGACAATTACTCAGTCAAAAACATTTGAGAAAATTTTACGGAAGTGTGACATTCTTCTCACTTAAAGAGAGATAGAAATGTTCATCATATCGTTGAAGTGACATTAATCCTTGAACCTTCCTCATAAGCGATGATCAAGCATTTGACCACACCATTTCATATAAATGTCGGAAAGAAATTGATAACTTGTATGCAGAGGTAGTCCATGTTAAAACGTACATTTAATAAAAGAGATGGATTTTCATTTTACACAAATTTCATTATCTACTTTTATTTTCAATAATTCAGAGGGATTAATCGTTGTCAAATTGTCTCGTGAAGAAGATAAAGGTAAACATGATTCATGATAAGTGAAATTTGCACAATTACTTCTTTACTCCTTGTGACCACTCACTGTTTGTGTGATTCAGTTTTCAGAAAATTGACATGTAAAACTTTGTTAATTTTCTAGAAAATGAGGGTCTAACCAAATGTGAAATCCACTCACCGTTTGATCACACATTGAATGTGATTTGAAGCTCAGTTGACATCGACTGGGAAAAATCAGATATGAACTGTAGAATATTGATATTCATTGCCTGTTTGAAAACCTGTGCAGAGATACATTCTCGTTTAAATGCTTCAATGAAACATGACGATAAATCATTACTTCAAAGAAAATGAATCGTGTTTTATGTTTGTCACAAAGTCATTCCTGTGCACATCATATTCATCTACAATTCCATTTATCACATAGTCATTCCTGTATATTATCCTTCCACATTGAGATATCGTTGAGATTCCACATTTAAATCTATTCATCTCTCATCCACCACAAACAAACACTGTGGTCACAGTTACTTCATCGAGTTAAATATCCATATGTTAGGTGATCAATAAGATTCTCAAGTTGCATTTGTGAATAAACGCTCCACAACTTATGTCATGCATACTTGGAGTTGATTGTTACAAGGAAAATTATAGAAAATATTGCGTATGTGCGAATATATATGCAGTATTAGACCTTCAATGATTCAACAGTAATACATTAATAATACAGATTCAGAAACTCAGCATTTCACACTAGTTTGGAATGATGCATGCTCGTTTTGTTCACATGAAGTTCACTTCAATGTTTTGTGTGCGAATCCGACTGAAGAAAGCATTTGACACAACTCAGTAATTATACACTAAATTTGATCACTTTGTGAGTGGATATGTACTGTGTTAAACCTATCTTTCAAATTCCAAGTATCGTTTGTCTTTTAATTGTAGAGAATACACCCATAGTAACTAATCTGTTATATCCGAATGGGAAGATATCTATCTATTATGAGAACGTAAGTTATAAAACTGAATGTACATTTAGTTTTGTTTCAAGTACTTGAGATCATTCTACTATTTCATGCGTATGAATACTGTCGAATGTGTATTAAGCTACACTGAACACAATAGAAAAAGATCAACATTTTGTGATGTGTAAACAAACTACTTGACTTTGTAATTATTCTATTAATGACACAACTCACTCTAGCACTTGTTAAAATGTGAGTAATTAGAAGTGAAGTGACATCATTTGTAACAATGATGTATTCATGTCAAACACTACTAACCAGTGTATGTCAGAATAGTGTATGTTATGTGTCGTATTCTGTCAGACTGTATTTCATCTTCAAATGGTCGGCTTTTCGGAACATTCAATAATGTATCATTTGAGCACAGCTTCCATGAAGCTGTTAACAATCACATTTCATTACAACTGACGTAGATTTTCATCTCACAGTGTGTCAACATATTACATGTTAGATTGATAAGTCATCAAACTTGACTGAAGTTGACAGCTGCCGTGATTAAGAATATCTATGTACACCAGATGGAACACACTTTCAAAGAAAATGAGAATATCATTATACGTAATGTAAGTGTGGTTAAGATAATTTGAACGAAGACTCACTTATTTAATGTTAAATTTGTTTTGATATAAGAGGTTGTGTGCTGACAAATCCTCGTCCCATTTTTGTTTCAGATTCTTTCGGAAATTAACGAAAGAGGGACGGTGTGCGGAATCCATGGATCCTTTCAATGTGAAACAGGTAAGAAACTTTGCAAAGAATGATGTTAACATTTGATACACTGTGACGTATAAAATCAATCATCTGTTTGCTGTGGCTCATATAACCGGCTATCTGTAGTAAATTAACTAAGGTCTATGAATGTTTTTTATCGCAAAATATTGGATGGTGAATAAGAGAAGTTTGGTTTTTGTGGAGATCGATAAACTGAACAAGACAGACATATATGAACGACGAAATTAAGCAGATAAAATATCGTCATGCGTGATGAACACGTAGAGCCTGAAGCTAATGTTTTCTGCACACAATGGTCGATCCTATGTGTTGATGAAATATAAAGCTCAGTTTTCAAGCTGAGTGAATGAGCGGAATAAAGTATTACATGATCACATGTGAGAACATGCACCAAATATTCGGTCAATTGCTACATATTGCTCCATTGAAGTGCATAACAGAGTCAGTAAAAAATGATGAAATTTGTGATTTCTATATTGCTCGTTGGAATTCTCCCACCTGTCTCTTATTGATTCATGCGCTTTCTGTGATGATTGCTTCGAAGTTGAAATTGGTCACAAGCGTTGTAGGCAACCATGGATGGTGCTTAGCAGTGGAATCGATTGCCGTCACAAATATCGAACGGACGGTTGAGTTCACAGAGCAGGAATGAAATACGGTTTCACGCTTCGTACAAACCAGTGGGTTTTTGGACTGAATGGTTAGGTGAATATCAGTATGGCGTTTGAGTTGAATGATCCTGGGCTCTGGTCCATCAGTAAACATCAACTTCGAGATGTAGGAATATCCCGCTTAGACTTTTTAAATAAGAAGGAACGCTAGTCATCATTCGTTTTTGATTTGACACTGCCATGTTGTTAATTTGTAAGCTGAAACGTGAAAAATGTTTAAAGGGTCGAACTTAAATTTTGTGGTTGTTTCTCAAGGAAGAAATCTCAATGTTAGGTGTTTTCTCTTCTATTTATCATATAAGGTGATACAGAACATGAGATAGCTGTACCTGCAGAATGGATCAAAAATGGCACATTAGTGGAGTATGAAGTCATCGGCGGTATGTTAAACCTTATTTATCATCATTTAATATATTCACACTTAAATCCATCCTTTTTATTTCAACACGCTGGAAATTTCATTTGTAACTGCAGTCATCTACTAAATGACATCCAGGCAACCGTCTCAAAGCACGTTTGACTTACCATTAGTAAATACACGTTGATTCATTTTTAAATATCAAGAATGACAAGTTACTCATTTTGAACGATTTTTGAAGTCTTGTGGACAAACTCACAAAACGATGTATGAGTTGATAGTAATCTGGAAAAAGATTAGGTGACAGTTATTTGATTGTGGACTGACCAGGTAGCTTCTGTTTTTCCTTATTGGTACATGTGATATCGAATATTTCTGGAGCATTGAAATCACAAGAACAATCCATGTCATTGCGATTAACATCAAAACGGTTGGGTACTTTCCAAAATCTCTGCTTTGTCGTACATATCCGATCAAATGAAGGTGAAGAAATGTGACGTCACTAAACTTATGTTCATCATAGACAGTCTCAGAATTATTGATGTATTTGACATTACGAAATTGATTTCTTTCTCAGGAATATGAACAATCAGTAATTTAGAACAGATTTCAGTTCACCATGTGTTAGGCTACTGAAACAACATTTCCACCACTGAGCGAATCATTCCATTATCCAATGATCAAATCGCCTTCAATATTCATTGATTACAGTATTATCTTCATCATAGGCGAATTTTCTTTGATCCAACTAGTCTGTTGCATTAACCGACAGCACACAGATCACAATGCAGCCACATACTTCGATATGTTTTCTCGTAGTAGATCAACTAAAATTTTTTCAGGAAAAAACGGCAGTGATGATTGAAAAAACAATGTCTATCATCATTTAATGTTCAACTGAATCACCATGACTGAATTGAATTTTTAGTCTAAGAACAAATGAACTTCCAGCACTGCCTTTGTGAAAAGAAACTGTGCATTGATAAAGCATAGTATGCAGTACGTTTTGCTGAGCCCAATGTAAGCATCACGTGTGCATGTCCGAATGTAAATAGTCATCGAAATCTGTCAAGCTTTCCAGTCGGAATTCATCGTTTATACTTGATATTGAATTTTGTTTCATTCTTGCCGTTTTAGAACATGATTGAAATCGAATGTATACTGAGTATTGCATTATGCATTGTGAAAACAACTCTCCAGTGAATGAAATAGTCACTTAACACTGAAATCACTATCGTGTAATTGAGTTATAGTTCCATGTATTGTGATTCTCTTTACTTCTGTCTAAAAATTCAAATTATAAAATCACCTTATTACGTTTACAGCAACTTGTCCAATACACAATTCAAGTGAAGCTTGCCAACAAGCAACAACACCGAATGTAAAATGTATTTGGTGTGAGAAATGGAACACGTGCATTAACAGTAATCATCAGAATCACCATTTCTTTAAAGTGAATGATTGCCATTATAAGGTATGTCAAATCGGTGTTAAATGTTCTGAATGATTGTACAATGCAAATTTTCTTAACGTTTGTTGAATTGTATTTTACCACCCTTGTTGACACAAATGCAGAATGAATTTCTCAAGGAATATTTCATGTTTTGTAATGAATGCTACTGTTTCGTCTATTCAAAAAGAGCCCAGATGTTAACGATGTGAGTACATCGACACCCGTCAATCATAAAGGAACAACATTGGGAATTTGTGAAGTTCAGGTTGGTGGAAACCTCAAGCAAACCACCCATTAAACCGATCAATACCCGATAAATATTTGATATTTAGTAATAAATGCTACTGTTTTGTTTTTCTATAGAATGCGACCACTGAAATAACTCAAGAAAGTGGACAGAACAAATCACTTTGGTATCTGTATATTGTTATTCCTTCAGTCGTCTTCTTCTTTGCTGCATGCGTCGGTTGTGTTATTTGGAGATGGTTGCATAAAAGAAAGAGAAGTAGTGAATGATTCTCAACAAAGTTTCATAACTAAATTCGAATATTCTGACCAATTCTGCTTTTCTTTTTCGTATTTCAATAAACAGTTTTAGATTTAGTTATTCATTTTAATGGTTTGGAACTTTCCTTACGGAACTATGTACATTTTGTGCTTGTTTATTTTATAGCCGATGTATTCTTGTTAATTAAATATCAAACATGATTTATAATATTTACGTCATTGTCTTTATTCATCAGAAGTTGACTTTTCTTACGAGAGTTTGACAACACTTTTTTCGGAAGTAATAGTCATGTGTTTTCGTGATTTTGTGTTAATTGCAATCACGTCGGATTACTGAAAAATATCATTTGGAATATACGACGGTCATTATTGTGAAGTGATCTGTCGGAAGACTTCAACAATACATAAATAATCATTTTTATCCTTCGTTACTTCATTATTCCTTGTTAAGTTAATGATGAGTGACAAACCAAGGTTAATTCGGTGTTATCTAGACGGATTGTGATTCGTTACAAATTTGTATTGTTGACAGAAGCAATATACGGCCATCAATTTCACTCAAAACTTATTCCTCCAAACGAGCTAAAACGGAGTTGTCTTTCTCAGCTTCACAAAGGATACGTTTACTGAGTTGATAGTTTGGTGTGCTAAGTGCTGTTGAATGATAAGTATCCAGCGTTGCACAATGAATTGCAGTTTTCGAAGCAAACATTCTTCACGGTTATCAATGAATATATTCAGCCTCATTGTTCCGAATTGTGCTGTGGGGAACTGAATGAGCACACACAAACCTGTTGTATTTGGAATTCGAAATCATAGGCCATCAATTACGAAGAAACCATTAATTCGTAAAATTATCAAAACCATCACAGTTTAAATAGGAGTCCGAATTTCTTTAATGGGTTGTACTTCTCCTTAGGTTTATCGTTCATTTGTTCAGCTATGTTTTGCATATAGACTCTGTGTGACACAGTCATCTGGTTTCTGGTAGCGTATTCGAATAATATGTCAATGTGTATAATTATATCATTGATGTCTGCAATTCGAAGCATAGCTCTTCAAACACTGTTTTCTCCATGAAATAATATTTGATATACAACATTTGATATTGAATCATATGATCAAATTTTAGGTTGAAATTGATTTTGAACTTGTTTCAGGTTTCCACATTAGGAGCCCCCAAATGCCATGATACGGCCGAGAGTGAGGAGAGTCAGCTCTCTCTCTCCAAATGCTCTCAGATGGGCAAGTGCTTACATCTTCTGCCAAGGACGACCCACTCACTGACTTCTCGCGATGAGGGGAGGGCCAAATACAAATGGCTGGCGAAAAAACCTTGCTGTAGGATATAAATTAGCCACTTAGAGGAATTGGAAAACCCTGAGTACTAATCAGTGGTGCACAAAGGCTCAGCTTCACAAAGGATATTTTTACTGAGTTGATAGTTTGGTGTGCTAAGTGCTGTTGAAAAATAAGTATCCAGCGTTGCACAATGAATAGCAGTTTTCGAAGCAAACATTCTTCACGGTTATCAATGAATATATTCAGCCTCATTGTTCCGAATTGTGCTGTGGGGAACTGAATGAGCACACACAAACCTGTTGTATTTGGAATTCGAAATCATAGGCCATTAAGTACGAAGAAACCATTAATTTGTAAAATTATCAAAACCTTAACAGTTTAAATAGGAGAACCATGTTGTTGGATATGGAGTAGCTACATAAAGGAATTGGAAAATCCTGAGTACTAATCAATGGTGCACATAGGCTCTGAGATTCGGAGTGAATAAATCACGTGTGAATCAATTATGAGTCAGCAGCTACTTGTGGTCAACTCCGTGACTGGCTTTGCAATTACTCTAATATCTGTTATTCGCATCAGATCTGAATGACTATGGAACGTGGTCGAATTATCGACGTTTTCATGAAATGTTTCTCTTCCCAGCACTCAAAATAAGTACACAATACATGATTTAGTAGTACGTATTTGGGAGTTGATCAAGAAAGCGTAGCAGGCT